GAGCAGCAAGAAGAGGAGCATGGCTGGGGAGGCCGAGCCTTGGGGACAAAGCCCTGGGGAGGAAAGGGCCTCAGGGCAGGAAGAGAACAAGGCGCTGCAGGCTGTGTGGTCTGCCGCAGGGTCCTGGCTGTCCCTGGGCTCTGCAACTCTTACTTAGGTAACCGCAGGGTGGACACATGCAGGGCACAGGTGCCTCACAAAGGCTGCCTTACATCACAATCACAGAAAAGTGACCCTGTGGGCAGCTCGCCATCCACAAGGCCACCACCAGTGCCACTGCCACTTCCTGTTTTCAGGTGAACATGGCTAAGCCACAGTGGCTGTGCGGCAGGAGGGGCCTCGCCAAGACCCAGAAGGAGGAGGGTGTTCTTACTGCACAGCCCTGAAGAGTAGCCCGTGCTGTCCTTGGGGGCAGCAGCTGTCCAGCGCCCCACAGCCTAGAGTGAGCACACCAGGGCTGTGCCCTGCATGGCGAAGTCACAGCTGGCGCAGTCCCAAGGTGTCCGGGTGCTGCGCCACACACTCTGGGCTGCTCCTGGCCCTCAAACAGCACAGGAAAGACCATCCCTGCCCACGTGTCAAAGGGTTTCTGCATTACGAAATGGAAGCAGAAAACGTTTGAGGGCGGATCTTCCATGGTGAACATCAAACTTGCAGCAAACGAAAGGGTTTAAAATGTCCTCAGTGGAGCAGGCCAGATAGCTCAGCGGATTAAAGCACCTGCCCTGGAGTGCCCCCCCAGGGCTCACGGAGAAGGCAATTGAGACTGGGCATGGTGGTGCACGCTTGTAATCCCAGCACTTGAGAGGCTGAAAACAGGAGGCTCACTAGGAGTCCGATCTGTATAGTGAGACCCTGTAAAGCCAGTACTAAATATATTAAGAAAAAAAAATCCTCCCTGGTCTCTAAGCTGTCTGAGCAGCTAGGCTCCCTAAGCTCCCCTCTCCCCGTGAAGTCCAGAAACTTACCTGCACCCTACCTTGAATAAGAGGGAGGCAAACAGCTAATGTGTCTAAGAACACATGACCTATGGCGATGCACACCCACAGTCCCAGCACGCCGGAGGCTGAGACCAGAGGACACAAGTGTGAAAGGGGCCAGCCTGGAAACCTGGGCCTTAGCAACACTCTGTCTCAAAATAAAAACAGCAGCTGAGAGAGAGTGCAGTGTGGAGTCTGGGTCCAGGCCCAGCACTGTGCGCACACGTGGAGGAATGCATGAGTGGGGAACTGTGCAAGGGCTGGGCGCCTGTTCCCAGGCAGATCATGTCCTGGATCTGTCACCCCGAGAAGTCTCAGAGACCCCCGACTCCAGTGAGTCGCATCGTGACATTTGCCAAGTCTTGAAATGCCTGAAATTTTCTTTGGAGTCTCCCATTGTCGACGCTGGCTCCTTACTGCAATGCTCGCCTCTGAATGTGAAACACAGGTCATCTTCCAGGCTTGGCCTCTACCCTGTCGCTCACCAGGACATCCTGTCCTGCCTGTGTGACCCTCACACTCACTGTCTGCTGTCCACACGGACGCCATGCCCCGGTGATGTTCCTTCCCCCATCCATGACCATGAGGTGTCCCACTGTGACCCCTTTCTGGCTCCTGCATTTGGTGCTACGTTCCTACAGCCAGGGGAGAGTGCAGGGAACCTAATGGCCACACACAAAGCTCACTCTGCCTCGTCCAGGGCCTCCCACTAGCTCCTTCTGGTCTAGGGCTGCTGGGCCCCATCCAGCTCACTGTCCCGTGCAGCACAGGTTGGGTCAGGTTTGCCCGCAGCTGACCAGAGCACAGGTTTATGCACTGGTGCAGATTTCAGGAACGGGTTCAGAGAAGGGTTTCTTGTATAAAATACAGCATTTCCTTTTGTGTGGAATTGGCAGTCCATCCTGGTGTCACAGGCCTGTAATGCATCCAGAAGGCTGAAGCAGGAAGATCACAAATCCGAGCCTAGCCTGGGCAGTTAGGCAGAGCTAAATTGCAGCTCTGTGAATCCCCTGTATTGAAGAAAGGAAAAAATGAGAGAGGAAACTTGGCAATAGGAGAGGAGGCAGTTTATGTATTGTATGCGGCTGTTGACAACATGTAACTTTTTCATTGTTAAACTGTTTAAAACTAATCCCCAAATAAGGCTCTATCAGGGAAAACATGGACTGGGCACTGTAATCAAAGATCACCACTCCATAAAAGATCTAACTGGCAGGCGAGGGAAATAGGGTCAGTCTCTAGGATAGGCAAAGTGGCAATACCAGAACTCTGCCAGAAACTACAAAAACACCTATCCGCAGCCAGAGAGCGCCAAGCAGGCAGCTCACGCCCGGCATGCCCTGCAGGGCCCAGGAGGCAGTGCTGCCCCAGGGTAAGGACAGGGAGGTGCTCGGGTTGCAGGGGCCATGGTGGCACCAGGTACAGCCAGCAGCTTGGGGCAAAGACCCCAGCAGCATCCGCAAAGCCCAGAGAACTCCTGCTGGCGCACTGTGCAGAGGCCCGGGGTGCATCAGAGCGCAGGTGACCCGGAGGACGTCCTGCTGCCACCACAAGGCCCTCGCTGTTCCTGCAGCTGCGCAGAGCTCCGAGGCCCATACTTCTGTCCGCACTCAGGCAGCACTTACCATGAAGCCACTGCACCAGCTGACACCAGGGCACCTGTGGGCTAGGGAGGGCCCCTCTGAGGGTGCTAGTGCGGGCAGTTGGGGACAAGCAGAGAAATCTGTCCCCCAAGTCTCTTGCACACCTGAAACTAAGGTAGAATCCAGGCTTGTGTGCTGGAGAACGCTGGGTTTCTGGCGTCTCTATGACTTGAAGTGAATATAGACACCCACATGCCCAGGACCTGACCGCAGGACAACCCAGGCGACTCCTCGGAAGAAGAGCGGTTGTCTCCATTTTGGCTGGGCCTGACCCTATTTCCATGTGCTAATATGTACAGAGCTGGCTATGACTTCCCGGGGCTTGAGAGATTACAGATCAGGGCTGAAGAACCGGACCCCAAAACATTAGCCACTGTCTCAATTGTGGAATACAGATGACTCTGACAGCCTTCTCTCTGCATAGTGCGGGGTGAATGCGGGCCTCCCACCCAGCCCAGCCCACAGTGCTCACCTCCTTCCTGCATTCTCAGTCACTCATCCTCAAGCCACTCCTCCTTCACAGCTGAATAAAACTCGGGTTTGGCCCTGAGTTGAGGCCTTTGTTCCAGACAGCCACCACCACACTGGACTTAGCACTCTGGGCTCCCCATAGCTACAAATACACCTTAGTGTCTTTATTCTCACCGTGGGTTGCACTGGGCGTGGTAAATTGGAATGGATGGGATTCCAATAATTTATCCATGGGATTACAAATACAAACTTCCTGGACCAAGACGAGGTCCAGGGGTGTTCCCTATACCACATAACAGTGACCACATGTCCTGTGCCTGCCCACTGCTGACCCCCAGGAGCACGTCTTGGCTGGCTTGTGCCCACCAACCTGCACAGGGCCCACGGCACCCGCTCTCCTTGCTGAGGCTTCTGCATTTGTGGGCACAGAATGCACGTGGGTCAGCACGGTGTCAGGGGACAGGCACACAGGCTGAGAGTGGCAGCACAGTGCCCCACACCTGGCAGTGTGACGCCAGACCGGCGTATGGAGTGGCCACGGGACTCAGGTTGCCGACAGTTTGCAGTCAGGCTTTGTCTCTGAGGCAAGAGGGCCCGGGACTCGGCTCTCTCCTTGCTGTTCCCAGCACCTGCCGTGGCTGCCCCGAGTCCCCCCCAAACGCTGCACTTGCCTCCACTTTGGGTTCCAGAGCACCATTAGCACAACAGCCCATGCCCAGCCACCCAGCAGGGCTTCCGCAACACCCTCAGGGCTCCAGCCACGCACAGACAGGCTCAGTATGTGGTCCCTGTGCCCTGGCGATGGCCAGCTGGCCCTCCCGGTCTAGCAGACTCCAGGGACAGCAGCAGACCCAGCCACTGGGCTCAGCAAGTGCAGAGCCAGCAGCACCCCAGACCTAGCCCTGCTCCTCCCACCAGCCCTAGCACACCCACTGCAGTGACCAGGGCATAATCGCCCGAGCACCCAGGAAACCTCATTGTTCCAAACAGCTGGCTGTTTGGGGATGCAGACTGCACATGTGTTAATGCATGGGGAAACTGTCACCATTTGGCCCTGTCTGGGACCCTCTGCAGCCCTCCTCTCCTCCTTGAGGAGAGGGCCAGAGCACCGCCCTTCCCTGGCAGGCTGCACAGTCCCACCCAGTGGAGCAGGTCTTTGGCCAATGCAGGGGACCCGTCTGCAGCAAAAACAAGCTGCCCTGTGCCAGGCTCTGTTGGTGGCCCTGCCAGGCCCACCTCTGCTTGGCTGCTGAGCCCCTTCTGCTGTTGTCTACCTAGGCTACATGGTTTAGGACCCCAAAACCCAGGGCTGGTGCTCAGGAGTGCTTTCCACGCTGCCCAGAAAAGGTGCAGGTGCCTGAGGTGCAGTAATATACCCTGTGTTCTCAAGGCTCTGATATCCTGCTGAGCTTGCTGCTGGGGACACTACCCCAGAGGCCAGAGGTCCCACCGGTGTCATAGACCTCTGCCTGCCCCACCCCACAAAGCCTGTGCCTGCACCTCCCTCCTCCTGCTGCTCCTCACACACCCAAGGCTGAGCTCCCCACCCTGCAAGCACTGGGGCAGAGCCCCGTGGTCAGAGTCCTGCCCTCACGGTACAGAGCCCCCATGGTGAGACCAGGAAGCTCTCCTAACCTGAGGCTGCGTAGGGAGCCCCCTGGCTGGGCCCTCAGGATCCTAAGTGTGTACCCCCAAGGCCACAGGCAGCATGCACATCTTTGGGAAGACCACTCTGCAGGAGACAGGGCTGGGGACCCCGCCAGCCAGGGATGGGTAGGCTGGGATGCGGGGCACCTGCATCTGCGCAGTCCCTGTCCCTTGTGAGCTCCCTCCACCAACCCGCAGGGAGACCCTGCCTGGCCCCATAGGCAGTGCAGCGCAGACAAGAGTCCAGGAGCACAGAGTCTTCCACAGGCTTTATTTCATTCTGCACATGTGGGCACACACATGAGGTTCACAGCGTTGATGCTCAGGGTGTTGAAACTCAAGCATTAGTAAACATGTTACACACAGCAGCAGCTGGCCAGAGCTCTGCCCTAAGCAGCTCATCTGGAGAAAGGGCAGCGTGGGAGTGCTAGTTAGTACCAGTGAGTCACCAGGCACTGGTGGAAGTGCCCACACATCTAGACCTTTCCTTCACCACAGATCAGCCCACAGAGCTGTTCAAAGCACCTTCAGGACACCTCCGGCCAGGGCTTTAACACCCTACAGCCCAGACCCCTTTGCAGATGAGGAGAAAGCAAGGAGGACATGACTAGTAACAGTCACAGCAGTAAAGCCAGACGCAGCCAAAAGGAGCAGTTCCACTTCCAGCCCGAGTCATCGCTGTCAAGAAAAATCTTCCAGAGGAAAGGTGAAAGGTACAAAATTGGCCTTTAAACTTCAAAATGAAGCTTTCTGCAAGCTAAGGAAAACACCTCACTAAAGCCAGCCTGAAGGGCACTGTGGCTCACATTTGCCTTAGGGCTACAACTGGCTCTGTTCTCACCTACTGGGACCTCAGTGCAGGCCAAAAGGCCTCAAAGACACCCAGCTTCCACATTCTACAGGAAGTTTCTTCAGCCCTGATGTACTAAAGCAACAGTGAAACTGGTGGGAGTGGAGCAGATGATTCATCTCTTACTAGATGCATGTAGTAAAACTATTAAGAGTTTTCACTAAGCTGCAAATGAATTTCCACAGTGTGCTTCATTCTCTTGAAGGCAAAGAAAGAAGGGCCACTTAGGCTGTGGAAACCAAATCACCACGCACCAGACCCAGAGCTGCGGGCCAAGGTTCCTGGGACAGAGCATGACCACAGGCCAGAAACAAAGCAGTGCAGAGCTAGACTCCTGCTCAACAGTTCAGTGGCCACTTGTCGGCTCCCCAGGAACCTGCAGTGTCAGCTGCATCATCCTCTCAGAGAACGGCTCTGCCCTTCCAGGGCCAGGAGATGCCAGGGCACTGCGTCACCTTTACAAGGGCTGCATCAGGCCTCTGGACTCTCACTGCTTGGCAGCCAGGAGTATGTCCACCCTCACTGTCCCTGGACAGGGCTGGACACAGTGGGGTGTGTCTCCACGGCGCCACCTCCCCCCCAGCTCCTGCACCAGGACGAGGGTGGTGTGGCTTATCCGGTGCTTTGATGGGTGTAAACCTTGCTCCGCACCCAGGGGCTGGCCCCAGAACAAAACAAGTGGTGCTGCGGGCCTCTGGCTCTGTTCTCACGAGCCTGTCACTATCTGGAAACATGCCATTTAATACCCTATCCATTCTGAAAATGGGCAGATGGACACTCATCAATGGCAATCCCTCCCCCAGCCCTCAGATCTCTCGCCACAAGATTACGGAGTCCCGGGGACTCCAGTGTCTGCCACGAGAGCTGCTCCTCTCACCACAGTGACAGCGATGGGCATGCTGCTGTGCGGCTGGCCACTGCTGGCTCTCTGCCTGCCCAGGGCCACCATCCCAACAGTGAGCGTCCGAGGATTCCTCATGAAAGCACTGCATGGACCTGATATCTGAGGAATGAAGTTATTAGTCTGGATCCATTTCATATAAAAAACTTTTAGCATCAGTAATAAAATTCTACAGAAAAAATGTACAACAATATAAAACGTACTTTTCCTTAAAACAGTGTCATCTGTTGGCTTTTGCTGCAAGGATTCCTTCTAGCCTACTTCTCTAGCATACTCCTACCAGGCAAGCAGGTCTGTTTTTCTTTCCTAAAACGATTACCCAGGTGACCAGCCTATCTTTCTGGCTTGTGTGTAAGGCTGAGCAAGCCTACAAGGCCCAGGAAACACTAACCAAAACCCTAAGTGCCACCCCCGGGTCATGCATGAGTCATCATTTCTAAACACACTTAGCAGAGGCCTTTCACAGCCACGAACTGTTCAGAAAGCACACCCTATTTCCCAACCCCCACTGATGTCTACAGAGATGCCCAGGCCCGCCCCCAGGTTAGCAAGCAAACCACGCTCAAGTCCACTGGCTTCGTCGCACTGTGCCCTCAGTGCGCTCCTCAGTGAGTCCTGGTCCCTCGGAGCAGGAACATGACTGGATTCAGTTAAGAGTGGATGCAAGACATGCCTGCCATTTGCAGAAGGCTTTTAGCTTCCTCTGGGGAACAGCAGCATTGGGCAGGGGGCAGCCTCTTGCAGGACACAACCACTTCTGGGCAGGCGGGGACATCTGCTCACCAGAGCCCTGGGATGAAGGCAGCAAGCCAGGCACCGTGGCTCACTGCATCAGTTCCGTCTGACAGGGACCCAGGTGTGTGCCCACCAGGCCTCAGTTGCTCAGGCACTACCATCCCACTGGAGACCAAAGACTTTAACAGGAACACCAGTAAGTCAGCCTCTGGAAAGGGGCTGAGGCCTCAAACTTGACCATTCAGCAGCAAGAGCTTTCTGCTGAACCACGGAGCTCATCGGTTATGATGTTAAACCTTGCAAGCCAAAAGCAAAACAGAGAATGACGACCAACTTCCCTGTGGTTACACGGCTGCTTCTCACCGTGAGGCGAGACCCCGGCAGGTCTGGCAGCCCCTCCTCCGCATGCAGAACAGGCTGGAGTGCACCTGAGCCCCTCACTGCACCCCAAAACCGTGTGTGACCCCATTCCCTCCTCGTGTAGCATCCTCCCCCCTCCCCAACTGTGGCTAACTGCACATATCCTCATGTCACTGGCCCCATTAAGCAACCCAAGCAGGAGTGCAGCGGAGGGAGGTGGTGGTACTTACTGCAACGTAGCCTGGAAGTATCTACCCTCAAAACACAGGTCGCCGCCACAGGTCGCAGAAGCCAGCAGCTTTCCCTACTCTCTCCACCTTTCCTCCTCCCCGAGTCCCACCAGAGACCCCTCTCTTTCTAACTCCCCAACCTAGGCAGCACCCTGCTCCCCTGGGTCTGGTGGCTGCTCCGGCAGGTTGAGGACAAAAGGGACCAGCACGCCTCTCACGTCCAGGGCTCCCGCAAGGGGCTCAGGGTCAAAGTGGCCGTCAGGCTCGCCGTCTCGAGGATGCATGAAGCGCCAGGTGCCCGTGCGGCTCACGCAGTAGATGTCGCCGTCCAGCGCAGCACAGCGGAAGGACTGCAAGCCGGACGCACAGGGTGGTGGGCGCGCGGGGCATGGGCTCCACTGCTTAGCCAGACAGTGGTAGCGCCACACGCTGATGGCACCCGGCCCCGCCGCGCCCTCCTCCCCACCACGTGCTGAGCCCAGGTCAAAGCGATAGAGAAAGCCATCGAGTGCCACCATGTCGGCCGAGCGCTCACGGCTGCGACTGCATGGGCACTCAAGCCACTCGTCACGCCGCGGGTCATATTTGAGCAGGCGGTAGAAGAGCGAGCCCCCTGACACGTAGATCTCGCCGTTGCAGGCGGCTGCCTCGTGTGCCACAGCGAAGGCACCCCGGGGCAGCGGCGCCACAGCAGCCCAGCGGTCTGCGCGCGGATCATAGCGCTCGACGCTGAGCAGGCACTCTCCACCCACAGCGTATAGGTAGCCATCCAGGGCCAGCAGCTGCAGCTGCGAGCGTGCCTGGCGCAACGGGCTCACGGCGGCCCAGCGGTCGGTGGCCGGGTTGTAGCGAAAGACGCGGTCCGAGGGGCGCGCGCGGCCGTCGGGACCCGCGGGGAGCACGCCCCCCGCCACGAAAAGGTAGTTGTAGAGCACGCACACGGCGCAGCCACGGGCAGCAGCGCCCTCGGGCAGCCGCGTGAGCGCGTGCCAGCCTCCGGCCTCCGAGGCCAGGCAGTAGACGGCCGCGTCCCCGCGCGTGTCCGCATCCCCAGAAGGACTCTGTGGGCGGCTCCCGGCACGCTCCCCAGTCGGCACGGGCGGGAGCGCGGCAGCCAGCAGGCGAGGACGACCGGTGCACAGGCGGCGGCGAAGCAGTAGGTCGCGCTCGGCGCCCGACAGGCGCCCAAACACGGTGGGCTCGCGAAGCACCTCTAGGTAGCGGTCGCTCATGAAGCGGTAGGCGGCGTCGCGCAGCTCAGCCAGCCGCTGCCGCTTGGCGGCGCTCAGAACCTCATAGCAGTTGTCCAGAGTCAGCTGCGGCCCCACGGCTTCGGTGGCGCGCTGCGCGGCCCCAGGCAGCTGCAAGCGGCGCGCCCCGGCCACCACCTCGGCCACGTTGTCGGGGCGCACGCCCGCCATATGCCCGCCGTATGCGTCTGCCAGAAGCAGACGCAGCGCCTCGGCGCTCACGCCCTGCACGCGCAGCACGTCCCGCGATGCGCGTGCACGGAAGAAGTCGCTGCGCGCGGCCAGCACCGCCTTGTGTGCGCGCAGCCGGCAGCCGCACACCTCAAGCACCAGGTCGGGCTCCCCGTGCGCGGACCCGACACCAGGGGGCACCGGCGGGGGCTCCCCTAGCTCGTCCAGGGACGCCGCAAGGTCCTCCTGGCGCGCACGCTCCTCGGGGGTCGCGGACTCTCCCTGGGACTCCGGATTCTGGGGGCACACGAGTTCTTTGGGGCGCGCAGGAACTTCTGGGGACACAGGATCCTCCTGTGACACAGGCTCCTCCGGCGAAGTGGGGTCCTCAGGGGTCGTGCGCTCCCCCAGGGACACGGTGCCTGCCCTGCTGGCCGCCCACTGCTTCTGCACCACGCTCGAGGGCGGGGAGTCCGCAGCGTCCAGCTCGGCGGTGGCGCTCGACTGCGGCGGGGACTCCTCCCCGGAGCTGAAACACAGGGACGCGCGCAGGCTGCAGGGTGTCTGTGCCGGGGACGGGGACAGAGACGCAGAGCCCTCCCCTGCGGCTGCATCCTGCGGGGGCGGCGGCGGCAGGCTGCCCTCTCCTGGAGCCCCGCGTGCATGATCCTCTCCGGGGTAGAGGACGCAGGACACTGTGTTCTCCATGAGTGCCGGGATCCACACGCTTTCCTGGCACGCAATCAGATTTCACTTCTGTCCACACTTTTTCTCCCGTCCTTGGGGGAGGGCGTGTCCTGCTGGTGTTGGCACAGGGCTGCCGCAGAGACTCTGTTCCTTGTGACTCTCATTCGTGTTAAGGCAAAGGTCAGTAAGAGGGCATCCCCTGTGTCCTGGGCTCTGAGCACGGGCACCCACGCTGGTCACCTGAGGAAACCCATACTGCACCAGGCGGGTGGAGTCAGGAAGTGATCTCTGCACACCTCTGCAGCCTTCATCTGTTACCAGCAGCCTTCCTGACTTCCTGTGTCAGACAGCAGCATTTCCGAAACATGCACTCTTCTTCCTGTTTGTAGGAGGAAAAAAAAAAAGGGCTCAATTTGCATTGTTCTCCGGGCTTGGGGGTGTGGTGTCAAAAGAATCTACCTAAATCCCCCCCCCCAGCCAGTTCCAGGGCTGCTGCCCAGCTGTTTTTAGTGTCCCCTCCCTTCTCCTCTCAAGTGTAGGGGGCTAGGAGGCATTCCCAAACATTCCTTGGCCTTAAAGACACAGGCAGAGCTGGACAGAACTGCTAGTTGTGTGGGCCCAAAGCAGCCAGCCTTCCGCAGCTTCTCATTTCCCACCAGGCAGCAGGACAGTCAGCAACTCCGGGACAGGCACCACAGCTGGGCCGTGTGCTCTGTCAACAGGGATACAAGAGTCTGTGGGAGGAGCAGGGACAGCTCACTGCTGCCCACCTCGGGGAGGATCCCAGGGGCTTCAGCTCCTGTGGAACTGCATCCCTGAGAACCTCAGAGAAGCCATCACGCAGCCACCTAGACGTCCAAGAAGAGAAGCCAGTGTGGACAGCAACCACAGGAAGGCAGAGGAGCCTGCAGGGAAGGGAACACCAGCACAGCAAAAGTCTGCTAGGTGGGCAGGCGCTGGCAGCTGCCTAGCCTGAGGGGGAGCCTCCAGGGTCCTGGCCAACTCAGGCCTGCGTGTGCACAGGGAATGTGTGTCTACCACACACAAGGCAGCTGAGACTGCACTTGGGTCCTTCCCTCAGCACCCGCTGCTGATTTCTCACAATGGCAATCTAGGCCCCACAAGTGCCCCGGATGGAGCTATGGGCAGTGTCCCACCGTCACAAAAAAGGCTTGTCACCCTCGGCAGTGAAATGCAGGTTTCAGGTTGGAGGTGGAGGACAAGCTCAGTCCCCTTCCTCCCTGCCCACCACTGTCTTTAGCTGTGCTGTGTACAGGGCAGCAGCGGGGGTCCTTGAGACTGGTCCCAGAGGGGGCTCAGCAGGCCACGATGCCCCGGCGTGCTGACTCAGCTGCGGCCGACCTGACAGGGCCCATGCAGCCTCGGTGGATGTGAGGATGCATGTGGAGACGTGGTGCAGGGCACCCCGGCTTCAGGGCCCTTCTCTCCTTGGAGTCCCACAGGGAGAGTCCAGACTGGGACAGTCAGCGGCGAGTGTCTTCCGGACACAAGAGCCCGAGTGTAGCATCAGCCAGGGACAGCCCTCAGCACACATCGTACTAACACAGCTTCAGGGAAGCACAGGAGACCACAGGCCTCAGAATCACACAGCATTTTCTCTCCCTTTGACCCAGCCAGGGGGACCAGAGCCTGAAGGGGGTGCGTGGAGGAGTGGGCTCCTGCTGCCCTCGAGTACCCAGCCTCAAGTGAGAGCGTGAGCCAGTGCTCTGTAGGGATGTTTGCTGTCGTCCTACCAACAAGCCAGACAAGAGCTATGTCCGGGGCTGCTGGGTGCAGGTGGAAGCTTAGCGGGGATGTGCTCTGCAGACGCCACTGCCATGCAGGAAGGGTGCTCCAGCACCTGGTGCTCACTGCCACTTGGGGAGTGAGGGCGGGCAGAGCTCAGCCTCCCCCAAAGCGTGCCTGCTGAGCCCCTCATGCTGGGCTTCCCTCCTGCCCGGGGCTCACACTGCTGCCCTGCAGTGTGGCCCAGCAGACATGTCGCTTCAGTGTCTAGTGGGCTGGCACAGCACAGCTGCGGTCTCCCTGCAGCTAACCCAGGAAAGCTGCTCCTGAGTCCAGTCAAGGACCTTCTGCACTCTGTCATCCAGCAGGCAAGCAGGGCCTGTCTGCCACATTACAAAGCCAGCAGTGCCACACCACCGTCAGGCATGTCAGCCCTGCAGCAACCATGTGCAGAGCTGGGGCCACACAGCAAGGGCCCCCCCTTGGGGCAGCACGGCACTTCCAGAAGCCAATGCCCTGGCGCTGGGGATAGCTGCTGCTTGGGTGTCTCTGGGTGCCCTGCAGAAGAGACTGTACCCAAGCAGGACGAGGCCTCCCAAGGTCACAATGACCCCTCTTCTTCCTGGTGTGACCTGTTAGTGATTTCACCTTAGCACGGACCGAGGAGTCACCCACCATGCATGTATGCATATCACATCACCCAGGTGTGGAGACAGCCTGAGCCTCCCGCTCCACATCCTGTCCAGCATGCTCTGCAGCAAGCCATGACCCTGCAGTGCGGCTACGCCGGAATACTTGGAATAACCGTGCTCCTAAGACCCTAAACCATGACAGCCCTAAGCTGTCTACGATTTAAAACAGACTACTACAGCAAAGCTTCCTCTGACAACTCCAAGATGTCAGCTGTTCTGCTGAGGTCTATGCAGGGAGCACGGGACTTTGGAGGGCTCCAGGCTCAGTTCCCCAAGAGGTTCTGCCATCCTGCTACATGCCTTGATGAGCCCCTGGGCTGGCCATAGCACTGGGGAGGGTTTTCTCACTAAACGAACCTCACTCTATCCCCAGCACCACTTTTGGGGTCAGTGGCAGATAGGATCATAGCACAGAGGCTGCTGGGAGGATGGGCAGCTCCTTCAGCTCTGCAGGCAGGGACTGTCAGAGCCACGGTGAGTGCAGCGTGTGTGGCATTATCCCCTGCAGGACAGACATTTGAACTTTATATAAAATGCCTCAGCAAAAAAATTGCTTAAAGTTTCTAGTTCACTATTCATATGAACTCAAAACAAAACTAGTATATGACTTCCTTGCGTGCACATTAGCTTATGTATTTCATGTGGACATTAGCATATTAACATAAACGTCATACTTTATGATACTAACACCAGCTGCTAAAAATGATCCTTTCAAATAGCTGTAGCAGCCGAATTGTTTTCTTAGGTCAGCAGACTTGGGAAGCTTGCCTGGATCTCTGTGGCGTAGGTGCTTGGAGACCAACTTTTACAGTGACGCAAGGGCATGGTGTTGCCCCACTGCAGATCCCAGGCCCCGGGATTCATGTGGTCAGTGGGAAGCCAATAAATTAGGCTAAGAAGATAGAACAACAAGAATACAGAAAACATAAGGAAGCCTCATCTTAGAAACTTGCTAGGGGCTGGACATGTAACTCAGTGGTACTTGCCAAGCATGCACAAGGCCCCGCGTGCAATCCCCAGGGCCATACACACAAAACAAATGCCTTTCAAGGAGGCTCAGGGCTGTATCTGCGTGCAGGATGAAATGGTGTGCATTCAGCTAAGCACCAAATGCTGCACTTCAAGGTCAGATGGCTCTCAGCCCAAAGGGAAGCAGCCAGTGCTACTGCATGCACTGGGAGGGCTGGGAGGGGCCTGCCGAGCCCTACCTGCCCTGCATGCCAGAGCCTGGAGCATGGTTTGGGAGGACATCAGACAGTACAGGGTGCCACAGCCCCAGCCTCCAGCGTCGTGTAGGAGGTAGTTTCCTTTTGACATGATCCCCACCCAGCTGGTTCCAGGGACTGAGGGTCAGGGACAGCTTGGCAGGCAGACTGAAGGCAAGCATTTTGGGGAGCATTTATAGTGCAGCATAGAAACACAGAGTGTCTGGTAGTGGGGTGCTGACTGATTAAATGAGAAGCGGCATCTGCCGTTTATCGGGGATTTGGTTAGTACGTGCCCCCCCCCAACTCCCAGCCTCACAGCCTCCGTCCTCCTGCCTGCTGCTGCTGAGGGTCCATCTCAGCCAGGGTAGGCTGGGACTGGCAGCTGATTCTGACCTCGCCGGGCTTCTATGTTCCTCTGTGCTACACACTGGGCCTGGAAGCTGCTCTGCTGGGCAGGGGTCCTCAGCCCATTCAGCAACAGGCAAGAGCAGAGCCCAGCCACCCCAGCCACCGCCTTCTTGGAGTTTCAGGGGTTCATGCAGGTCACATGGAAGGGAGCCTCACTGGAGGAGACTGACAGAGGCCCCAGGCAGAGCTGCATGCAAAGATCTCACAGCCCACCCTTAGGTCTCAGGACATCCTGGGTGCACTCAGCTCCAGCTGCCCTGGGTGTTCACTCTCCAGCCCCTGACCCCTTGGTCAGCCCTGCCCCCCTCTATGGTCCTCAGAGGACTGGGGACATACAGACGACACTTGCTTTCTCCTGGGTGCAGGAGTCCTGCAGTCATGTGTCACTATTTCCAAGTGCCTGCCCTGCAATAAGGGCCAGTGGCGGAGCCCCTGCTGGGCTTGGGAAATGTTCCCATGCTCCACCTGCAGGGAGGGCTCAAGCCTGGCAGGAATCCTGGACAGCTCACCTGGGTGAAGGCAGGAAGAGCCAGGCTCTTCAACACCAGAACCCTGGGAAAGCCCGGGGCACGTGTGTGCAGAGGTTGCCGCAGGACAGGCTTCATGGTCAGACACCCGCACCACACATGGCACACAGGGTCTCTGCCCTCTGGGTCCGGGTGGCAAGGTGCGGTGTGGGAGCGCCCTTGGGTCTGTCCCAGGTCTTACAGCATGCCCTGTGTCTGGCACACCCAGGCCTGAATGTCCTCAGCCCTCAGCTCGCACACCCCAGGTCACCAGATACCCACATTATCTCAAATTAGAAATGGTGGTGGTTTTTCAGCACCCCATGTTCTGTCCCCCGGGGAGAGGCCACTCCAGGAAAGTTCCCGAGGACCAGGTCTGCAGCCACGGGGATGGGGGTGAGCAGCATGCCTGCCCCAGCGCACACCACCGGGCTCCGCAGCACACACCCACGCCCACACCCGCACCCAGCAGCAGGCCTGGTAACGACACCCTGGCTTCCTGCCACTGCTGGTAATAACACCCAAGGCGGCTCTAGGGAGCAGAGGCGTGGAAGAGCTGCTCTCCAGGAAGCAGACACAGCCTGGCCTACAGCAAGAACAAGGCCAGGGTGGCTCCCCTGGCCATTTCTGGCTACAAAGCCAGGGAGATCCCTGTAGTCAGACTCCACGTACAGAAGCAAAGCACAGAGATCATCGAGTGCCCTTACACCAGAAGGCATGTTCCAGGTCTCTGAGTGAGCCAGCATCTTTGAATCCAAAGCACCTGCCCTTCCTGGGCTCCAACTCCAGACCAGTCATACAGCAGACAGATGCCCAGATCACCCCCGGCTCACTGAGGCCCCGGGGGGGGGGGGGCACACACAGGATGCCACCATCCTCAAGTGTCTGCAAAGTCCTGGTCCAAGTCATCACTGCGGGCAGGTGTGACTGAAGTACCTTGGGGCACCCTGGACAGCAGGCTGAAAGAAGCTGCAGTTGGAAGCGTGAGCCACCTGGGCTGAGCACCCCACCAGGCAGGGGCGCCCCACGGACAACCCAGCACAGGTCAGGCAGCGGCAGGCACTTAGGACTCCCTCAGTGTGCAGGGTCACCAATGGATGGGTCCCAGGGTTGGGCCACGATGCCTGTGTACTGTCACGGACATGGAGGACGGACTGAGCTGTCCCAGGACATATACCCTGGCCGAAACGACTTCTTCAAAGGGACGTTCCAGGTTAGAAAGGGCGAAGACTTCAGTTCGCGGTTACCATGCAATGTCACTTATGCGCTTCTCCCTCTCCCTTCTCTGTGTCTTGGTCTGTTCCCAGGTGTGAAAGACATCATCTACCTTTCATTTGCATTTCTCATGTAGGAGAAGCCATGTGACACTTATGCTCAGGGTCTGGCTCACCTCAAGGTGATGCTATTGCCTCAAGACCCAACCTTCTATGATGACTCAAATCTGTCCTTCATGGCAGAGCAGTGCACCACTGTGTATAAACATCCCAAGGCCAGGACCACCATACACAGAGCCCCAGCTAAGGGCCACCTGGAGGACCTTCCGGGGCAGCAGTCCCCCAAGAGCTTTGATGTCACACACAGGTGACCACAGACCCATGCAGGTCTTCCTCGCTGCAGCAGACTGCAGCAGGGACTACTCAGCACCCAAAGAGCTGGCTGAGCCTAAGGAAAGCACAGGTCCAGGCGTGGCTCTGCTGGCAAGTGGCAGGGACTCGAACTCAGGTCACAAATGCCCCCTCAGGCCACCACTGACTGTGGGGGCTGACACCCTCCTGGCCAAGCCCCACCCCCAGGCACTGGAGGCCCCTAATGAGCATGGCTCTGCCTGGGTCCTGAGGTTCCCATACTCCTCTGCAGTTTCCATCCCTACACCACACCCAGCCTGGATGCCTAGTCTTCTCAGGCCAGGCATCCCTGAGGGGGAAGGGACTCACACCTTGCTTTTAAGTGTACCCAGCTCTCTGCGTCCTGGGCTAGCGTCTCCCTCCACTTTACTACAGGTGATCGGGTCCCAATGAGAGCTCCTGCTACAGCTCCTCCAGGGCTTCTGGTGTCTGCAGCCTTGCTCCTGTCTCATCTGTCAACTTCTGTGTCCAGGCAATTGCCCCAATGGTCTGCTCTGATTCCTGGCTGCACCTACTGCAGGTCTTTGCCTTGTGGTCACCATTAGGCCCACAGAGAACACCTTACAGCTACCAGGAGCCAGGCCATGATGGGCTGAAAGTCAGTTTTCCCAGGAGGGCTTCAGGACAGAGGATGCATCCAACTCTGGCTGGCAGGTCCTCCTCCCCTTGGGCTCTGGACTACCTGACATGGTTGGAAAGAGGCCACCAAGGCCTGGCCACATCTCTCAGCAAAAATGGGACTTTCAGAAATTTAAGAGTTGTTTCCTGGGGCCGGGGAGATGGCTCAGTAGAATAAGCGCTTCCCTGGCAAGCGCAAGGGTCTGAGTTCAATCCCCGGCTCTGCCAAAAGAAGAAAGAAAGGGGGTGAGGGAAGAGCTGTTTCCACAGCAGCTTGCTGAGGCCAGGGACAGCTGTGTGAGATTTGGGGGTGCCTCTGTCTGTGGCATGAACCCAGCAGAGCACCAGCAGTGCCAGGCAACTGTGCAGGCTACCACTCCGCCAGCCTGGGGCCCACACAGCACACACTGCCCTCTGCAGGTACTACCAGCAAAAAAAGGGCCTGGCTGCAAAACAGGCACTGGCGGGGGGAGGAAGGACTCCAGGGTGGACCAGGAGCCCAGGGCGGCCTCTGCCCCAGAGCCAGGCTGGACGCATCAGCTGCTTTGGTCAGGACTGCTGCAGAACCCACCTCGTCTCCCAGCTTTACTATCCACTCTAAGAGGCCACCGTCCCCCTCGTCAGACCCAGTCTGTGTCACTGTCAAGCACTGTTATTTTAGAGGAGATCCTGAGATTAAGATTCAAATTAGCAGACTGGGAGGAGCAGGGGTGGGCCTCACGTAGCCAGGTGACAGCTTTAAGAGGTAGGCTCCAAGGCACCCAAGAAGAGGGAATTCGGTCTCCAGATGCCGCAGGCTGCCCGCAGCACCAGCTCTTCCAGGTACGTGCCCCTCTGCTGCAGCACCCAATGCTGGAAATGCTTCCTTAGAGGCAGGGATTCACAGGGGCGGCGGCGGCGGCGGCTGCAGGCTGGCGTCCAGGACCACACCGGCATCTGCTTGCTTCTGGCCAGGGCTTCATGCTGCCACACGAGAAGAGCAGGCAGGGTGCAGAGGTGAACCCCGGCGGACCCACTGTCTTGGTGGTCTGTCCAGCTCAGAGAACAGACCCGTCTGCCCTGTGCAGGAGAGGCACGTGCCCCCTCGGTGCCCCAATACCTCTCACAGGACACAGCCTCCAGATGAGCTTTCAGGGGCACACCGGTCACACCCACGGCACCTGCTCCCTGGCCTGCAGGTCTGGACCTGCACCGCCACCGCTGCAGGAGGCAACTCCTTAGACCAACAGTCAGCCAGTCCACAAACCAATGTCTCAGGACCTAGGGAGATAGCTCAGTAGAGTAAGCACTTGCCTGACAAGTGCAGGGCCCCGGGTACCACACACAAAAAAAGTCTCTCTCCCTCTGCACACGTGCATGCACACACATGTGCACGCGCACACACGCGTACACGCATGCACATACACATGGCCATTGGTTCCGCTGCTCAAGGAGCCCTGACCAGTCTGGGGAAGGGGGTTATCCCTCTGGGGCTAGGGTGAGTCCCAGCGGTCAGCATCTACACCCACAGGAGTGGCATCTGAGGAGGCCAGGCACTGCTTGAGGCTCCATCACTCCATGTCTTGCACAAGGCCCGAACCTTGGCTGAGTCTGACACCACAGAGGATGAGGGCACCTTGGTGATGCTGCCCTTTGTCTCATGGGAGGTTGGAATCTGGTGTCCCAGGGCAGTGGTGGCAGAACACGTCCCAGAGACACCCTGCCGAGCATTCCATTCCATGTACTCTTCCTGTAGCGGGGCAGGAATGCAGCCGAGTGCAGGTCCCCATCCTTTTCAGCAGGCAGCCCTAGACCACAGGGGACAGGGCAGGCTCCTCAGGGAGAAAGGCCTGGCTTCCACCTCCCCAGCTTCTGCAGGGCACAGCACTTAGCCACAGAGACGCCTCAGGAAGAAGCCCAGCTCCAGGACCCTGCCTAGCCAGTCCAGGGCACAGACAGGGTGCCGGAGCTGCCCAGAGCTCACCACTGCGAATTCCCTGCTTCAAGCCAAGCAGCCACTTCCCTGAATCCAAGCCAGGGGCTTCTGGAGATCGCTGCCCCACTGGAACTGCAGACTCTTGGGCAGGGAGTGCTGTGGCCACATGGAGTAGCTTCCTTTTTGGTCCTGATCCTTTCATGCAGGAACCCAGGTGCTGGCAAAGGTAACCTCCAAAAAGTTTCAATTCCAGTCTAAAAGATGCCCACTGCTCATTATTTGCAAATGTCAACTCAGCATAACCACAGTAATTCCAAGAAAAATCAGACATTCCAGGCCATGCGGTGCCTCAGGGTAGGGCATCCGCGGCTGGTGACTTACCAGGCCAGGCTCTGTGCCAGCATCTGGCCCACCCCAGCTCCAGCCAAGTGGTTCCAGGTGTGCAGGAAGCCCTGGTTCCTGAGCAACCTTGTTGCTGGCATTTAGGAAATGCTGAAATGTGACCTCAAACCGAGGCACCCACCACCACAGGGTTCTGCGTTCCAGAACACAGCAAAAATCTAGAAATCCGGGAAAGCAGACTGCAGGATAAACTTGGCTTCCCGGAGCCACTGTCAAAACTTTGCTGAACACGTGAAGCTGCGTCACAAGAAAGGGGCGGCCTGGAGTGACGTTGTTGGGTGAAGCCCAGTCATCCCTCCAGGTCTCCCACCCTCTCTGAGCAAAGTGCTCGGAAGGCCACCTCAGGGCCACATCAGAGGCCGGAGGTACCACAGGCACCAAGCCGGGGCTTTGCCATTGGACTGAGATCCACACCTCTGTTCTCTGCCTCCCTGGGCCCAAGACTGCCTTAAACACGTAAGCAGAATCCTGCCCTGCGTGGAGCCCGAGACACCCGGAGCGCCTGCATCTCTGACCTTTGGCACTCCAGGGGCGACGACTCTAATAAAAGCACAAGACTGGGGTGGGAGGCTCAGGGAACAACCGAGCTCCCAACCCCCAGCTGGGTAACCGCTGCTGCAGCTGTCGGGAAGCAGAAGGCGCAGGGAGCGCCAGGGCAGGACTGGGTCAGGGCTGCCGTGGCACTGAGCTCTTTCGGTTCCCGAGCTGGGCGCAGGGGAGTTCCCGGTTCCGGGGCGGGCCCGCCGGGGAGGCCCGGGAGGGAGGCGGGGTCCGGCGGCCTGGGCTCGCTCCTCATTGGCATACGGCGGGCTCCTCGCGGAGCCGAGATGGCGCCCGGGTCCCGGCCCCCTCCCCCTTCCCGTCCCAGTCTCTGGCCGCAGCCCCAACCCCAGCCCCGGACCCCTGGCCGACCCTCCCCGGCCTTGGCCCCGGCCCCCACCAGTGGTGTGGCGTGGAGCGGGGCGCAGCTCCCACGCGCCCCCTGAGCAGTGCTGACCGCGCCGGTCCAGTCGGCCGGGTTCACTGGGGCTGGGGTGCGGCCTGGACCCCAGGCCCGCTCCGCCTGCTCCACTGTTGCGTCCGGGGGCGATCGCGCGCCTTCCTCTTCCCGGAGCCAGGGGGGACAGGGAGAGACGCCTCCGCCCGCCTGCTGGATCGTGCATCCCGCCGCCCCTACCTCGCCGCCGCGCTCTCCCTCCACGCGCCCAGCCGGACGCGGCCCGCGCGTGCGCACGCGCTCCCTCCGCACCTGTGTGAGGCTGGGGCCGCGTCCGCGTCGCGTGCTGGGCTGGCACCGCAGGGTCCCCGGCCTCCGCGCGCTCCCGCCCTGCTCGGGCACGCGCGAGTCCGCCCACCCGCGGGCTCGGGGACGCGGGAGGGACGCTGTGGACGCGGCCTCGCGGTTCCGCAGCCCCAATGGACCCTGAGAGCCCTAGAGTACACTGGGGACTCTGGGCTTGAGAACTTGCCGGCTAACTCCAGTGAAACAGCGTCCTTCGTGGAGAAATAGTCCCCATGGAGCTTCACTGAGAGGGCGTTCTGTCCACAATGCCAGCCTGCCTCTTAGTGCATCCTCTCCGCTCGCTCACTCGCTCTGGTGGAGAATACGTTCGCCTTCAGACCATTCTTGGCAGAGAAGAGTCAGGGACTGGGCTGGGCGCTGGAGGTTCCCCACCTGACGAGCCCCTGCAGATGTCACGGCTGTGGCACCTGCCCCCCACCTCACCCCCGCACTCTTGGCTCACCATGGGTATTTTTTAGAAGGAAGAAAAAAAAATAAAGCAAAACATCTGCCTCGCCAAGATGTGCACTGTGTGGGTGCCACCGTGTATTCCCACTATGAAATGACTTATTTTTAAGGTGGGCTGTGGTCCAGCAGGCAGAGAGTCGCAGAAGAGCCCTCTGCTGAGTTCAATCCCCAGTTGGGGTGGGGGGAAGAGCCCTCTGGGCAAGGGTCCCCTCCGTCCCAGACAGTCAAATCCTTGCCTGGAGCCCAGGATGAGATGACTGGAGCAGCCCGCCATCTGTCTGTAAGCAGGAACCCAAAAGCCTAAGGCGCATCTGTTCAGCTCTGAGCAGAGCACCTGCACCTAGCAAAAATAACTGATAAAGGCCTACTAATATGCCACTGCAGTCTTCTTGGCCCAGATGTAGACCCCAGCCAGGGCCACAGAGCAGCGCTGGCCCTGACAGGTGGGCTACAGACTGGGGCGTCATCCTCCACATGACTGTCTGCTGGAATTCTCCACCACCTTTTGCATGGTCCTGTATGAAGGGTACTAGTGTCCCCTTGGGCCCAGTGGAAGTACACTGACCACTGTGTTCCTGGCAGGACACTCACCTCTTGCTCTGCCTTGCCCCTGGGCGACGCACGAGAGGAAGACTGCCTGAGGGCCCTGGTCCTCAGCTTCCTCCTGTGGAAGAGAATGTCTGTTCCTGTGGGGAGCAGGTGCAGCTGCTGGGCCTTAGAGAGCTCGCCCAGTGCTTTTAACAGCCCACAGGTCTCTGTGTACTGCCAACCCCTACAATTAAGTTCCAATAACTGCCAGGAATAGAGCCAATTGTTATAAGCACTTCCAGCTCCTTGGCATGGAAAAATAATTAGATGTGTACTAGTTGGAAACAGGGTTCACTGATGCCTTTGAAATTCGGTCTGTACCATGTAAAGGAAAAGCCATCTCCTTCCGTCTGCAGCCTGCAGCCCCTCACTCCCTGCAGCTCCCAGGAGCTCCACCTGTGCACTCTGGAAAGCCTCTCCCTGCATTCTGAGTGGCTGTGTCCCAGAGTCCAGTTCCCACATATGCTGGAGGCCAGCACCCAAGGACCTCATGTTCAGGCAGCAGTGCCTAAGACTACTGAGGACAAGGATGGGTGGCGCACGATGCCAACCATGTGCACACGGCATGTGCACCAGCCACGTCATTCTGGAAGTGCGGACCACAGACAGGACCTGGCTGCAGGTGCCCCTTCTATGCTGATCTGAAGGGAGAAAGAGAACAGCTCAGCTGTGAGCTGCCCCCCCCACTAGACTTCTGTTGTGGCTCAGAGGCACTCAATGGTCTAGGTGTCCTTCAGTACCACCCGAGAGGCAGTAAGTGCTTGGCATGGAAGTAGTGCGGTCACCAACTTCGTAAGCCATTAGTGCACTACTGTTAATCCTAGTAAACCTTTTCTTCCCCAGAAAATACACCTAAAATAACTTTTTCAATACTGGGTAATGAGGCCAGGGGCTTCACACTGAGCTACATTCCTGGCCCATTTTATTCTGTTGTAGACAGCTGAATTAGACAGAAATATTATAGGCAGTCAGACAGGGCCACGCCCTCAAGGAGACAGGATGGAAGACAAGGTGACTTTGCAACTTTGAATAAGACAGACACTTCTGGGGCTGGTGAGATGGCTCAGTGGTCTAAAGCACCTACTTAGAACAAGCTTGGCAAAGCACAGGGACCGCGGTTCTATCCCCCAGCACCACATGCCAGCCAGCCCCGCCCCCTGGTGGGCTGAGCTGGCCACACACACACACACACAAAGACAGACACTCCTGGTATGGGCCAGACTTCCAGGCAAGAGTAAGAAATGCAGCCACCTACTTCCCCAGGGATGGGCAGCAGGAACTGATATTCTAAATAGGTATCAATCACCTTGAAAGAGCGCAAATGCGTCACTAACCCAACCCACAACAGGAAGAGACCCTGTTCCGTATTTGTGCCCACTTGCTAGTGACTTGCTTCCACATTTGGTATTGGATTTAATCAATTTTTCCTGAGCAATGGTGCTTATAATCTCATTGATTGACCATAGTTTTGTTCCACCTCATGTCCACCTAAGCGAGTTCCCAGGTTCTCTACCACCTTAGACCTGCCTCATCACATGGTTTTCCTCTTTTTTTTTTTTTTCTTTTTTTTTTGTTGTTGTTGTTTTTTGGCAGAACCAGGGACTGAACTAAGGTCCTTGCACTTGCCAGGCAAGTGCTTATTCTACTAAGCTGTCTGTCTCCCTGGCTGGTTTTCCTCTACAGAAGTCCTTTGTTGGGGCCGGGGTGATAGCTCAGTAGAATAAGCACTTGCCTGGCAAGCGCAGGGTCCTGAGTTCAATCCCTTGTACTGAAAAAAAAAAACAAACAATGTTAGTAGTTTCATATTGTGTGTCTGCAGCACAGCACACACCAGGCAGGGGGCCTGCTTCCATAAGTGGTGGAGGCAGCTTGCTGTTCCGAGTCCAACCCACCTGGGAGAGCTGGCTTGGCCATGGTCACGTGAAGTGATGCCTGTCCAAACAAATGACAGGTCCGGGCTGCAGATCCTACGTCAGAGGTTCCTGAGCACAAGAACCCAGAGTTGAGTACGACATCCAGAGTGCTGACAAGAACCGAAATCTGGCTTTTGCTTGATTCCCCCCACGCTGACTTTCCCCAATCTGGGATATGTTTTGTGCTTTGAACTAAATATGAAGCTAAAACCTTCACTTTTGGGGCTGTGTGTGTGGGTGCCTCTCAAAACTATTAAAGTAGCCTGATATGGCAGATGCTAAGTGCTTGAGGTCACTGGCCATGGTCGCCCAGGTGGACAAGCCAGGCAGTGTGAGGCCCCGCATGTGGGCGTCCGCAGTCGTGCCAGACCCTTGGCAGCCAGAATGCCTCTTGCTGTCACACCAATCTGTTCTAAATCACGTTGCTGCCACAGAGAAGGAAGACCAGCAACGGCAGAGGCCGTGCGGGTGTAGCCAGGCATACTCTCAATTAAAAACAAACTGCTGATCTTGAGCATACAAAATGACTATGAAGAATCTGACTTTCCAGTCGTTTTGAATACGTATCTGCAAATCCTTGAAAGTGTGCTCCATTAGGAGGGGTGGAAAAGACTCCCCAAGGCGCACATTGGGGAGGATTCCTGGGCTGGCAGCTTGAAGCTGGGGCAGGCTGCATTGTGTCCTGCAGACAGATGGCACCTCAGGAATGGAACCGTTTGGAAAAGGTCTTTACTGAGGCAACCAGATGAGACGAAGCCCTGGGACCTGGTTCAGTAGGGCTGATGTCTGCACAGGAAGAGGAGCCTGGGACTGAGGCAGACTCAGGCCAGGGAAGAGGGCGAGGACGGCCTGTAGCTGTCAGAAGATGGGCGTAGTGGCAAGCCAGTGATGAGGGAGCAGAGCCCTGCTGGCGCCTTCTAAACAGAGCACTGGGAGGAGCTCTGGGCTTCAGGGCCGTCTAGCATGTGACAGCCCAGGACCCTGCGCAGGGCTCTGCGTCCGCCCTGTACAGCGGCTGCCAGGATGCTGCACCAGGTTTCTTGTTTTGACTTTCAGGACATTACGCCTGATTCCTTTTGTATTTGCAGACAAAAACTTTTAAGAAGGTTCAAGCCACAAAACCATGTCCACAGTGCTGGGTGCACCAGGTGTGCGCTTGGGGTCCGCTGGCATGGGTCTGAGGACTGGGCTCTGTACAGGCTGGGCTGCCTGCCTTCTGCTGGCTGGCCCTGCTTTGGGTGACTCAGCAGGAAGGTCTCCCAGTGCTGTCTGTTGTCCTTCGAGGCCTGGCTTGCAGGGTGGGCGCGCTGGACGTGGCCCTGTCCAGGCTCCCCCAGCAAGGGGGAGGCAGTATGCTTGTAGCCCTCCTGCCTGGGGAGGGCTGCAAGTGTTCAGAGGGCTCTAGGCGATTTCTTAGGTTTCTTGTGTAAGCAAAGATCTAACCACCCAGCAGGCAAACCCGGAGTCTTCCACACAGACCGCCAGTCTCTTTCTGGCTGCTGTTTGGAATTAGAGCTGAAGATCTGCGGGCGCCAGGAGAGCGCCTGTGGAAAACACCTAGTCACTCTTGGCTGGCCTCTCAGCGAACCCCAGCCTCTGGGTGTGTGCATGCTCTGGGCTTTGCCCTCGCGAAGGTTCTTTGTGCTCTGGGGCTCTAGCTTCTGATCCTGGGTCCTGGGAAGAGGGTCAGCGCTTGAGCACATGACCCCCGGGGTCACAGGAGGTCCAGGAAGGGAGCCTGAGGTCTAAAGCAGGGCAGAGCCCCTCCTCCAGCTCCTGGCTGGCTGGGCCCTGGAAGCCTGTCAGGGGCACTTCCTCTACCCTACACCACTGCTCAAGCAGGAGAAAGTGAATGAGCTGCTCCAGTCTCTGGGTCAGGAAGCAGAGAGGGGCGGAGCGTGGAGGGGAAGGTGCCCCGGAGGCATTGCCGTGTGGCCTCCTACCCCGCCCCCTCCTCGCCCGGACCTTCACCTCCGGAAGTCCCGCCTAGGAGGCGCGGGTGCCTTCCTTGTCCCATCCCAAGGCTTTGCTTGTGTCCTGCTGAAAGGCAGAGCCTCAGCCGGCCTCCAGCTCCCAGGGCCTGGAGAGGCTGAACGGAAAGGCAGCAGCCTCTCAGCAGCGCGCTCATTTACCTGGACTGCCGCCCCTGGCCCACCTTGGGGACACGCCCACCCTTTCGGAGGCTCAGCTTTCCCAGCCTCCAGGAAGCCCCCTCTGAGCCCACACTGCGACTCCTGCTCATGAGGCACACACGTAGTGAGGTGGTCCGGGTGCAAACGCCACCCCGTGCCTAAGAACAGCATGGGACACACAAATGGGCCTTTCCCGCGGCCGTGCGGCGACAGCTGACCCTAAGGGAGAGCAGCCTGGAGCCTGAAGCCGAGGTGGGAGCCTTTGTGTGGTGGCATGGAGGCCCCGCCACGTGTCCAAGCTGCTTCACTGTGCTGAGGCCTACAGGACCAGGACTTGCTGCCAGGCTGACCCCTGGCCGGGGGACCTCCTGGTACCCGGAGCCCACGGCTGGGAGCGGCATGTTGAGCGGCCCCACTCTGTAGCCAGCGGGGCCCTGCACTGCCTGGGGCCTGCAGCGTCCCCAGCAAGAACGACCGCCCGTGCGCTTATCTCCCACCGAGCCCAGCCCATGGCGTTGAGTGAGAGCAACAGCTGAGTGCCCTACCAGTCCTCCGGAGGGCCTCAGTAAAGGCCGCTGAAACTCGACAGGTCCAACCACCCAGCTCGCAGTCTGTGTCTGTCCGAAGAGGCGGAGAAAATGACTCTTGGCCCAGGAGCTGTTCTTCCCGTGGAGCAGGAACTCTCCTGTCTTACTCCACGTCAAGCATTCAGGGTGGACGAAGTACACACCTACACTGTCGGGTGCACAGTCATTTCCTAGCCCAGACCCACGTTTTTAAACTCAGCTGGAGCTGCGTTGCTCAGCGGAGACAGCCTCCGTGAGAATTCAGGGTATCTGAAACAGCAGGATGCCATGTGTCCGTGGGCACGAGGAATTGTGCATCCGGTCTTGACGGTGAAGAACACAGATGGATCCTCTGGGACGGGACCAGAGCCAGCCTGGGTTTCGGCCTGGGTCCTGCTGATGTGTGGGCTCCCTGCACTGCTCCTGGACACTGACCCCAGGGCCACCCAGTGGCTACGGGAGTTCCCTCCCCCAGGCCAGGGCCAAAAAAGCCCTGGCACAGCCATGTGTCCCCTACTGGTATAGATGGGGTGGATCACTCCTGGTTGAGACCCACAGAACAGAAATCACATAAATCACATGAAAAATCTACTTTTTTCATGAGTAGATAAAAATATAAATAAGCCCCCATCCCTTACCTAAAGAAAGCCATTTCCTCTGCTTCTGCTGGGAATGCGTGCAGGGCACCCCTGTCTCTCGGGCTACCTGGGAAGAGCCCTTTTGGGGAGCCCCTGCAGCTCCTCTGCAGCCTTCCGTGGTTCCCCTGCCAGGGGCCCAAGGCCTGTGTCCTGGGCTTCCTCAGGCAGGACAGGCTGGAGCTGAGAGCAACAGCAGACCCGGCTCCTCCATGTGCTCTCCTGGTTCCCGCAGTCAACGCCACCCTGCTCTTGCCTGGAGCCCCAAATGGCCACCCCTCTTCTGGGTCTCCATGAAGGGCAGGGCTGTTCCCAGCTGTGCAGCTCCCCCATCCAACCCCTTGGGAGCCCTAGGTACCAGCTCAGAACCCTCAGTTTGCTTGGGAGCCCCCTTTCCAGCCCACCAGCCCGTGCAGCAGCACAGCTGGTCAGGGACCCACAACACTTGAGTTCAGAGCGATGGGCTGCGTGAAGCCACTGCTTTCTGCTTGGTCTCTACCTCAGCGCTTTGTTCCCTCACTTTGCACCCTGGCCAGATGCCAAACAGAACAGTTGGGCCATTGTGGCCGAGCCTGGCGCTGTTGTCCCTGCCTGGACTCTGTGATCCCAGCCACCCAGCCTGACAAGGCTGTGCTGAGAGGGTGGCCAGGCTTGTTGGCTGTGACCTCCAGAGAGCTGGGGCCCTGACACCCTGCTGGAGTGGCCACACCCAAGCCAGCCCAGACAGACACAGAGGTGTCTGGTGGTCGCAACCACTCCGGGCAGGGCCTTCCCAGCCTCATGTCATGGGTAAAGATGAGGCTGCGGCTCTCCAGCCCCTGGCCTGGCTACCTGCTAGCACAGGGCAGATGCCCAGAAGCACAGCTGCCATGGCCCTGAGAGGGGCTGAGAGACCCCTACACATGGGCACACTTGTGGCATCCACCTCAGCAGGGCCCCCCTGCCTGCTTGGGGAGGGTTAATCTTTCCCAGAGCCATGAGAAGCCAAAGAGCCTGAGGCCGGGTGGGAGACAGCTGCCTCCTCTCTGTATTTGCACTTGAATAAACACTGTCCAATAGTTGCTGGAGGGAGAGCAGCCTTTATTAGAGTATGTGTATGCATGTGAGCACGCATGTGCTTGTTGTGTGTGCATGCATGACTGGGGGCAGAGTAGTTTCTCAGAGCTAGGTGACCCCTGCGCCACCACTTGCTGGGTGTGCAGGGCGCTGCTCACGGCATGGCCCTGAGGAAAGCCTTACAGCTGCCGAGCCATGTCTCCAGGGCCTGCTCAGCTCTGAGGGAGGATACAAGAACATCCACCTCCCAGAGCCTCCTCAGGGAAGAGTAGCATCTTCACGTCCACCAGCCAGCCAGGTTCAGCAGCGAGGTCTGGGCCACTCTACACTCGTCACACGTTGACACCCGAATGCGTGAAACTTGCAGAAAGGCATGCTGATCAGGAGTGCCCCCACAGCCATCAGTGCACGTTGTCCCTGTCGCCCAGGACCCGGGGTCTCACCCCATCCTGAGGAGGCACGCTGACTGCAGTTTGCTGACAGCCCCACTCCACAGGAACTCTGAGGGCAGAGCAGGTGACGCTTCAGAGAGCTCAATCTGGCTGTGTCCCACTGGCCTCACCGGGCACCAGGCAGCTCCAGAACACAGGGCCTACAGGAGGAAGGACCCCTGGGGAGCGTGGAGGTGGGAGGGTCTCACATCATGGCTCCCATGAAGCCCAGCTGTCCTCACATCTTGGCATCTGCTCCCTGATATGGGACAGACAGGAAGCAGCATGGCTCTGGTCTCCTGTGTTGAGAGGAAGTCCAGGAGCCAAGGTGACACAGCATGCCACCAGGAAGAACAGGAACCTGTGTGGGACCCAGAGAGTGAGCATCCGGTCCCACACATACAGCGGCAGGAAGCAGAGGACCCCAGCTCCGCAACAGCTCCCCTGGGATTGCAGCCCCGCAGCTGAGCTGGGGCAGTCCCTGTGCTTGCAGGGACTGGTGACACCCATGCGCTGCTGTTGGTGAGTACTGCTAGGCTGTGAAGCTCGGCCCACTCCGTGCCTGCTCCCACCCCAAGCCCGCACCTCTGGGCAGCCAGGATGCCAGGCACGGCCCGGGGCACGGGGACAGGCTCTGGTCTCAGCAGGCCGCTGGTGGTAATATTCTCTTGGGCCAGCTCAGGGCTGGCTCGAGCTGTGGGCGGTGGAAGGTCTGCTTCTTCCGCTGCCACTCTGGCTCTTTCTCGGCTGTTCCTGCCCCGCTGGGCCTTCTGCACAGGAAATCACAACCTGTAATACTGTCTTTTTAAATAAAATGACTTTATTTTTGCAATCAGGGAGCAGCTGACAGTTTAAGGAAGCTCAGAAGTACACACAACTCGGCAAACGCTGGCTAAGTCACATACTAGAACCTCCGTCATCTGTAAAGTGCTGAGACATCCTGTGAAGCTCGACTTCAGCCTTCTTTCCTCCCAACCACCCGGGATGCACACATGATGAAGAAGCTCCAGGGCAGTGCAATGGAGCCTCCTTGCACGAGGCAGCCCTGTGCCCACGGCATGCAGGCCAGCGTGTTCCTCGGGGCGTCCGCAGGGCCAACACTCTGGGGAGGTCTGTTCCAGGCTGGTCTCCACGGAGGGTCAGAGTGGACCCCACTCCAGGCCCACGGAAGTGGGGGCTACACCGATGCACTGCCCCTGCTGAGAGGCCCCCACACGGTGGGGCGGGAAGCACTCAGTGGCCGGGCCACTGGGGTCAGTGCTGACAGGTACTGAGCCAGGTGGTTCAGAGCACAGGTTGTGTGTGAGTGACCCAGACATACTCTAGTGACTGAAAGGCGGCTGCTAGCTTTTAGTAGGAAAATGCAATAGAAAAACAGTGCTTTGTTAGCATACACAGCACACACAGGGACAGCGCTGCCCCAAGTGGACACCTCGACAGTCAGGTGCCTGTGGCCTGGCTCTCGACAGGGTGGCTGGGGACCCTGGAGCTTCAGAGAACCACACGGTCATAGCAACGCTGCATCCCCCAGATTCTCCAGGTGTGCAGGCACCAGTACAGGTGGAGGCGGAGACAATGGGCTTTTCACGGAGAGCACTGCACTGTCACGAAACCGGACATGTGGGCTCCGAACTCCTCGGGCCGCGTGCTGCAGTGTGGACAGGGAGGCCGGCAGGGGGCTGCCCGGCGTGCACCGCACAGCGCCTCCCTAGGGCGCTGCAGACGCGACACCTGCTACGCACTCAGCAGTGGAATCTGCCAGACCATCACAGAGGACACCAGCTCCTCGGGGGGCGGCCGCGCTTTCCTGTGCACATGCCGGTGGCCCTGGCCCCCGCACACCACCAGCGCCGAGCTGGCCTTGGCCCTGCGAGCTGGCCGTGCCCTGCTCCTCGTGGGGGCAGCAGGGTCTCTCAGGAGGTCACAGATGCTGCTGTCCTCAGACCCATGCTCCAGTGAGCTGGAGCCGAGGGACAAGCTCGGTGACCCCAGTGGGGGCAGGCCGCTCTTCTGAGGCCCAGGCCCTGGCCAGGCACCCAGCCAAACAGCTGTGTTGGTGTCTCCCTGGCTGGGAGCCAAGGTGGACCCGTCCCCAGAGGGCATGTCCTTTCGTTCTTCGACCGGGAGCTCAGGGCCGGGAGGCGGGCTGTCTCTGGGCTTGTCCTGGTCCTTGGCAGGCGTGGTGGCCAAGACAATGAACTTGACCGGGCCATTGTGTGCATGGTAGGAGACCATGCCTCTTCCTGCAGAGGAACACAGCCAGAAGCAGAGGTTACCACGAGGATGGGCGGGAAGGGTCCCCGGTGCCTCCCCGCACAGGCTGCAGCCCCCAGGGGACAGCACAGCTGGAGGTGACAGAGCAGCACGCCTCAGCGCATTCTCCTTGTGCCTGAAGAAAGCGTTACAAGGGTCCAAAATGGGGTTTCCGGCAGTAGAGCCTGGTTGTGGTGACCACGCCACACTTTCATGAAACAAGCTGGACACGGTGGCACATGCCCACACTCCCAGAGCCCCGGGAGGCTGAGGAAGGACGGTGGCAGAGCCGGATGCGCTGAAGGAGACCCTGAGGGCAGGGAGGCATGGTGGACGTGGGCTTCCAGGATGGAAGTAAAACAGCCAAGCTGAGGGCCAGGTTCGGATTTTCGGCACTGCCTCCCAAGGATTGCTTGTACTCTCACCCCCGACTTTCCTATGCTCAAGCGTCCTGGGGACAGGTCTGTGCCCACTCACCGGTCACCTTGGGGATGCCCTGCAGACGGGGGACTGGCAGAGCCACGACAACCCCCAGGCTGGTGCCGACCATCAGCAGGCCGTGGCAGACGAGCAGACTGGTCACGGACAGCCGTTGGTGGCCTGTGGGGAGAGGGCAGTGGCAGGCCTGGGGCAGGACACACCTAGGCGCTCACACTGAGGCCCTCTAGGTTGGAGGGTGGGTGGCCAGTGCGCTAGCTGCAGCTGAGGCTGCCAGCCCTGGCTGTTCTCTGGCTGGGCCTCCCAGGAAAATCGAGCAATGGCATCCATTTGCTTAAACCACTTGCTCCTCTGCAAGGCAGCCTCACACACCTGTGCACGTACCTCCCCCTCACCCACAGCACACGCCCACACACCTGTGCACGTACCGCCCCCTCACCCACAGCACAC